CATATATATTTATATATATTATATTATATATATATGATCTAAGTATATATATACACATATGCATACACACACGTACACCGTCTAGGTGTATTTTACTATTAATATATATATAATTATATATATATATTAATATCAAATTACACGTAGACTGATACTGATTAAATATATATATATTTATTGTTATATATATTTATATATAATATAAAAAAAAGAAAAATGTAAATACGTTAAAAAATAAAATTTAAAAAATAATTAAAAAATTAATTAAAAAAATATATAGATGTGTGTTATTTCGTTCTAACTGTATTGTGAAATAAATATATATATATATATATATACATATATATATATATCAAAATACACATAGAACGAAATAATATATATATCTATATACATAAATATATACGTATTTATCACTATATATATACCTATATATAAATAAAAATATTTTAAAAAAATTATATAGATATACACATATAGATTCACATACGTATATATATATATATACATATATTAATTCTACATATATATTTATGTAATATTTTTACATAATTAGGTATCTTAATTAGTTACAATTAGCGGGACCTGCCTGACAACCCATGCCGAAAGTAAAGGGAATTTAATTTGCTAGCACTATATTTAACCCTATAACTTTCCAAGACACCATAAAACCGGTACATGGGGGGTACTGTTCTACTCGGGAGACTTCGCTGAACACAAATATTAGTGTTGCAAAACAGTAAAATGTATTACAACGATGATATCACCAGTAAAAGTGAAATTTTTTGCATTTTTCACGCACAAACAGCACTTACACGGACGATATTATTGCTGTGATACTTTTTACTGTTTTGAAACACAAATATTTGTGTTCAGCTAAGTCTCCCGAGTACAACAGTACCCCTCATGTACAGGTTTTATGGTGTTTTCAAAAGTTACAGATATAAGGCTTGCGTTTCATTTTTTTCACATTAAAATCCGCCAGATTGGTTACGTTGCCTTTGAGACCCTATGGTAGCCCAAGAATGAAAATTACCCCTATGATGGCATACCATTTGCAATAGTAGACAACCAACGGTATGTGCAAACAGGGTATGTCCAGTCTTTTTTAGTAGCCACTTAGTCACAAACACTGGCCAAAATTGGCGTTTTTTGCATTTGTCACACACAAACAAATACTAACACTAACTTTGGCCAGTGTTTGTGACCAAATGGCTGCTAAAAAAGACTGGATATACCCCATTTGCAATACCTTGGGTTGTCTACTATTGCAAATGGTATGTCATTATTGGTGTAAATTTCATTCATGGGCTACTATACAGTCTCAAAGGCAATGTAACCAATCTGGCGAATTTCAATTTCAAATGTAACGTGCTATATTTGACCCTTTAACTTCCCAAAATGCCATAAAACCTGTACATAGGGGGTACTGCCTTACATGTGATACTTTACTGAATACAAATATGTGTATTTTATTGCAATAAATGCAAACAGTATTATGACATTGACCGTTAAAATGTCATGTAGAACTAAAAAACCCCAAAAAATCGTATTTCCTCCCATTTTTTTCATATTAAATTATGTTTCATAGCTAAATATTAAATGAAAGCCCTGTTTCCCCTGAATAAAATGATATATAATAAGGGTGGGTGCATTTACTATGAAAGAGGTGAATTACGGTTGGACAGACATGTAGCGCAAATGCCAGGTTTTGTTTACATTTTGTTTTGTACACAACGTGTACATTTGGCTCCGTCCTTAAGGGGTTAAACTGCAATTGGATAAATACTTACAAAAACACAACATACAGGGATATAATTTCTAATTAGTGGGGTAATAGCTGCTTGATCCAAGGAGACATCTGACTGCTATTTTGGGGTCAAGAAGGAATTGTTTCATAGTTTGTGGCAAAATTGGAAGCGCTTCAGACTGGGTTTTTTGCCTTCTTTTGGATCAACAGCAACAACATATGTGAGGAAGGCTGAACTTGATGGACACAAGTCTCTTTTCAGCTATGTAACTATGTAACTTTTTCTCTTTTCTCTTTTCTCTCTCTCTATATATGTTAAGGCTTTGCCTGGAGTTGTGGGAGGGGCTTATGTTACCTTTCTCATCCAACTGTCTATGGTCTGGCGATCTGCATGCTGCTACTTCCAGTGCATGCAAACCGCCATCTTACAAACTTACCTGTCCACGTGGCACTGCTGCTGTCCTCTGCTCTGCTGTTGGCTGCTGTCTCCTGCTCTACTGCTTGTACAGTTGCTCAGGATCTCCCACTGCAGGCTTTGCTTGTGCTGTTGGCTCCTGCTTCAATCTTGGCAAACTGACCCGGAAGCACCTTCTGACCTTCAACCCTGTGGACAGGCAGTCGCGCGGCACCTTCCCGGCGGCGTCCTCATGATTTGTTCACTTTTTGTTCAATCCTTTTTGGTTGTGTTTGTTTTAATTTGTGAGTTTCAATCCATTCGACCTCTTGCCTCAAGTCACTTTCATGAAAAGCTTTTAGGCTTTATGCCTGCACAGATACCATCCCTTTACATATGAATGGCTTCTTAGGCTTAGACATACGAAAGCGTTCACATGTTTCAAACAAAGGTTTACATATTGGGTTATGTGGGCACAAAAACTCTATGGCTGTACACTCACATGAATTAGGAGGTTTTCGGTGAGGCATTTGTTCATTTTAAAAAAGGAATCCCCCACGAGGGTCCCAAGCTCTGACTTAGTACGAATAACTAACGTTCGCGCATTTTTTTATACGAACGCCTATTATAGTTCTCACTGTAGAATACAAATCACGTAATATTTCGCACAAGCAGTATATATATAGATCTTTGGCTTGTGGCCCTCTAGTGCTCAATACCTATTACTACAGAATGTCTTCTTGTAGGCGATTTCTATCTTTTCCATTATCTACATTCATGCAGGCTAAAAAATGGTTATTTCAGGATGTGATCAATTAAAATGTTTCATGTTATTTACACATATATTGTCATTTATTATTTATACTTATATTGTTGTCTTTTCATTTCAGGTCTTTTGTTTTGTGACTGTATTATATTTCTCTGTCAACAGATCATCAGGTTACTGTTTCTTGCTATAGGTGGGTCCTTTAATGGTTTTAAAGTGTTCTACTGCACGGTGCATGTCTTAACACATTAGGTCAAGGGAAAAATGTGGCAGTGGGTTTCATTAGGTAAACACTATCCCACACATATGGGTACTTCTACACTGTCTGTAGGCCAGCTTATGAACCATACATCTAATAAATCTTATTGAATCAACATTCTATTACAGATTACGGGGTTATCAATTTTCAGAGCAGCATTTGCTCTTCGTACCTCGAATCCATTTCAGTAGGTAGGTGCTTTTGGTATGCAGGGCTAATACGATTTAGAAGTTCCTTAGCTTAACATGTTTAATAATTCATATCTTTGCCATTATTAGGTAATAGGCCTCTCCTACCCCTCTCAACCTCCTTTAGTGGGAACCACAGATTTCAGTTACGGATAAGTATATATTTAAAAAATAAAAACTTCCTTGTATCCTCCCTACAACTTGCCTCATTCTTTTTTTTAGGTTACAACCATATTATACAGAACCTACACAAGTACTATATACGACTCCAGGTACATTATTAGCCACGACGGTATGTTTTACTGGCTTATAGGGAACTAGGTGGCCAATAGAAGTTAAATTTGTGGCTTCTCTACCTAGAGTTAGTGGTCCTGTGAGGCCAGGTCCACTACACGTAGAGGGGATATCAATAGCCCTGCTTCCATCAGGTCATGGACCATTCCACGTATAACGGCTGAACTATGCAGGCGCAACATTCCTTTCCCAGCAACTATCTTCTAACATAGATAATTCAGATGCTGGAGAGGGCACAAGTAGCTCAAACAACACTGATCTCCACACAAAGATATCATCACTCGTATCCTCTATGGGAAAGATTATTGAAAGACTGGAAAGACTAGAATCACGTAGTCTCACCATACCATCAATGGGTCCCCCTGCTACTGAACCACTAGGCCCTACTCAGACTCAATCTGGTAATAGTTTATCAGCAGGGTCGAGTTCACATGTTATTAACCCAGCTCACATGGTGTCAGCAAATCTCAAAAAAGATAACCTCGAGGGTAAATACATTAACCTAGTCTCTCTTTTGATTGCCTCCCAGGATCTTGTTGAGAATCACACTTATGCTTACAAAGATATATCTGTTGTACTGAAGGCCAGGGATCTGAGACTGAGTAAGAAACTGTCTATCCCGGATTTTGTATTAGCATTTGGGATATACAAAGACATCATATGTTCAGTTTACACGCACAGGAGAGAGGAACTGGATCTCTACGTTCACAAGCTGGTGGACTTGGGAAAAATACGGAGGTGTGGCATTTTATGACTACCACCGGCCATTCTCAGCGAAGGTGTCTGCAGCTCCTGCCCAGTTTAATGTTAGAACAGATTGGAGTCAACTGGATACAGACATTTCTGCAGACATTTCGCTGGTCTGAGGACACCAGCTTGTGCAATTTGCGCATCCACTTCACACTCAGCTAACCTATGTCCAATCTCACCTGACACCTCTCCTAACTTGGCCTCCCCAAGCACCAAAGAAAGAATGACAAACCAGTCAAGGATAAACTAGGTTGTCCAATGGTGTAATTGGGTAATCACAAATATGCAACAACTTTGGATATAGTACTTGCCGCTTACTGCATGTTTGTTCCCACTGCTACAGTGCACATGCAAAAACGATGTGCCCCAATAAAATGTATTGTAAACCTTATTTGACCTCTGTAAATGTTGGTTCTCTACTCAGCCTTCAATCCACCCACCCTTCCAAACATTAATTTTTTAATAGCATGTTTCACTCAAGGTTTCCATACAGGCATTATTCACATACCAGCAGGAATCAAAGAATGCAACAACTTACAATCTGCTCTGGGGAATTCCGATACAGTAGAGTTACTGATACAGCACGAATTGGATCAAGGGTTTCTATTGGGGCCTTTTCAGGAACCTCCATTTTCTGGTTGGAGGACAACCAATTCACCCATCTCTATGGCACCTGCACGGTATTAAGTAGAAAGGCCTGTATTATTTTTTCACCAGACTTACTTTCGGATCAAAAAGCAGCCCAAAAATATTCAACACATTTGCAAAGACTTTGTGCTTGGTATTAATTAATACATTATGCTGTCCAACAGTAATCCATTATATGGATGATTTCCTGTTTATCAAAAACAATACTCAATACTCGGGACATTCTTTTAGGATAGGGGCGGCTTCTACAGCATGCAGCCAAGACATACCAGTGCATGTCATTAAATCACTGGGTCGCTGGAATTTATTGTATATACCACACCTGTACAGGAAATGCGGAAGACTTTTGTAAAAATGTCCTCATAATGTAATATATATTGTATTATGTTAATTGTCTAAATAAATATACATCGGCATTGTATTTTTCCTTTTTGCCCACTTTTATTTCAAGGCCTACCGCATTGTCGGTTCCGGCACACCTTAACCGACTTTTCCTATTACAGGTAATGCCACAACACTTGCATTACCTTCTTGCATTACCAATATCGATGTTGCTCCGAACACCAATGTTAAGGCTTTGCCTATAGTTGTGGGAGGGGCTTATGTTACCTACAGAGGGACTCCCCCATTTCCTACCTTACCGTCAAACCATCAATTGTCTGGCGATCTGCATGTCCCTCCCTCCACACCCTTTATTCATTAATATTCTACTAGAGTGGGCCCACTTTTATTGCCAGGCCAACCGACTTTTCCTATAACAGGTTACACCACAACACATTCTTGCATTACCAATATCAGTGTTGCCCCGAACACAAGTATATATATATATATATAAATATATATATATATATATACTTTTAATGTTGCGACTGGCAAACGACTAGCGAGCCGCTGGCTAGCTGCCTCATAAATAACCCTCACGTTGCAATGTTTTTTATTAACTATGTACCCACTGGCTACTATTGCTGCTAGTTCATTTTTTTATTTTACATTTGGGCCCAGAGTCGAAGTCTCCTGGCCTGGTTTGAATTAATTCAGGCTAAATTTCAGTCGTCTGGCAGCGTTCGGTCCAAATCTCGGACAAAATTCTAAATACGGACATTGTTGAATTCCATGAACATTCATTTTTTCCTACTCAGTTATTTTTCCATGTTTTTTAAATTTGTAATTAATAAGCCACAATTCACACCACATGGACCATAGCGAATTATAACTGATATACTGCAGTGTGTATATTTGCCTGTAAAAACAACTTGCAATCTCGAAGGAGTGGGTAGACATTCTTTGATGAAAGCTGTTCCCTAAGATTTTTTTTTGTGTCTCTACATCCATGTAAAGTACACACAAAACATCATGAAACATAATGAAACATTATGTACAACCACTATTCATATCGAGGAATAAATAATCATGATGGACGTTGTACTCCACTGTATAGTGACATGCAATTTATTTGATTTGACGTTTTCCTCGTGATCATCTTGAGCAGAATGAGCATGGTGCTACATGTAGTCCACATTTGTTACCCATCAACATACTCCATGCTGTTAAGCAACACAGAACTACTCTTCTCTAATTCCATTAACTCGTGCCATTCACTACGTCTACCCCTTTCTACTTCTACAATAACAAACTCTAATGTTTACATAATAAAAAGTGACCTTCAAGGATATTCACCAATGCTTGTTATGAAAAAAATCATTTATTGAAATCTTCATTAAAAATCTTGCGCTTGACATACAGTGGAAACTACAGCAAATTGCAATGAATGGATGAAAAATGCAGTAATGACAATTCTGCATGTTGCTGCAGGAATGTGATATCTGTATATATTTGTGAAGAAAGAGCTACCTTTTTCCTGTTTCCATATATTTTTCCAAAACCTGTTATGTTGCAAAAAATCTCATAGAAAAAAGCTCATAGAAAGGCAGATATTCACACACTACTCAGACTGAAATGCACACATGCCTTCAATCAGATACACACACACACACACACACACACACACACGTTATATATATATAACAGTGGATTTATTTCAATTTTATTGGAGGGAGCAAGGGGTACCTGACAAGTCATAGCCTACAGCCACCTGAGACATAATCCTCACCCTGCATGGACATTTTGTATAAATTAATTTACTACCCTCTTAATTCACTTGCTGTTGTATAAATTGAATAAATGTCAATAATGATGTAATGCAAACATGAATAGTAAAGAGGATGAGAACATATAACACTCCTGTACAGTCACATATTCAATAAGATGCATTAGTATTAAAGCCATAGTGTGGCATCTGCATCGCTTTTTATCTCATTAATCACGAGCACTCATAGCAACAATGTTGGCAGATGCTGCTTGCCTTTCTGTAGCAAGTTATTAATCACAAAACCCTCAGGGCATTTGTGAGGTTAAATTATTACTTTGTTTTAGTACTCTAATTTTCCCCAATTCTGCAAGATTACCTTCATTCATAAGTTTGTAAAGTGATGCATGGTAGGAATAATTAAATCAATTTGCATCATATGAAACTGTACGGACACAATTCTATAATTAACGTAACTCCAATGAGAAGAATACGGTGCTGTGTCATATATCTACAGTTAAAAAAGTCATCAAATATAGAAAAACAAGATATGCTATCTTTGTCATGATAACATCCAGAAGGAGGCACTATTGAGCTGCAATTACTGGTACATATGCTTGGTAATGAAGGTACCTAAATGTGTGTGAAAACGGTTTCCCAGTCCAACATGCCAAGATGAGGACCTTGATGAAAGATAGGTTATATTTGCATGTTGCACATGACACAAGACATAGCATGTGTATAAAACATATACTATTATTGTAACATGCACCCAAAATAATTCTTAAATATTAAACTTTGGTTATTAATCATTATGGTGTCTTTGGAGACACCATAATGTGATAACATCCTGATGTGATAACATCCCGAAGGAGGCACTTTGGAAATGCAATTACTGGTACATATGGTTGGTAATGAAGATGCCTAAATATGTGTGAAAACGGTTTCCCGGTCCAACATGCCCAGATGAGGACCTTGATGAAACATAGGTTATATTTGCAAGTTGTACATGACGGTATAACCTTGATGAAAGATAGGTTATATTAGCAAGTTGTACATGACACAAGACATAGCGTGTGTATAAAACATATACTATTATTGTAACCAACATGCACCCAAAATAATTCTTAACTATTATACTTCGGTAATTCATTATTATGGTGTCTTTGGAGACCATAATGATCGTTGTGATCACAGCTTGACATTTGGGGCATGCTAATTTTCCTGTGATGTTTTTTATTATGTTTTGATTTTGCTTAAAACGCAGCCTTTTTCAGAAATGGTCCTCCTCCCTAAGTCATTGGTCTTCTTTCCATTATTTCATATTAGAATAAGGGTGTTGCGTTTTTCACAGATAATTCTGCAAAATCCTTAACTCTTATCTCCAAGATGTCCAACTACACCATGGCACACAATAGTTTAGTCAAATGTGTATATTTAAAATATTTGTATTTTATAGTAATACTTTTATATACACATCCAGGCCCGGACTGGCCATCGGGCACACCGGGCAAATGCCCGGTGGGCCGCGGTGGCCGTGGGGCCGAGGCCGGCAGGGGAGATCACAGGATCTCCCCGGGCGGCCCCTGCAGGGCCGGCACTGTCCCAGCGCCGGCCCCGCTGTCTGCCACGACGGGCCGGTGGGGAGATCAAAGCTCTCCCTCACCGGCCCACATGCGGCCGCCGGCGGGGAGGGAGGGAGGGAGCCAGCCAGGCTGGAGAGAGGACCCGGCGGAGCTCTAACTTGCAGCTCCGCCGGGTTCCTCTCGCGAGATCCGGCGCGTTGCCATGGCAACGACCGGATCTCGCGAGAGTGAACTCTAGCCTCACAGGCTAGAGTTCACTCACCCACGAGGACCACCAGGGAACACCGCCACCCTGCCTCCCAGGCTAAAGGTAAGAAGGGAGGGGGGGAAATAATGACTTTTTTTTTTTTATTTACCCCCCCTACACACACACACAATAACATTTATACAGCACTCTCACACCCATCACACACAGCACTCTCACACCCATCACACACAGCACTCTCACACATCATACACAGCACTCTCACACACATCATACACACACTCTCACACACAGCACTCTCACACACATCATACACAGCACTCTCACACTCAGCACTCTCACACTCAGCACACTCAGCACTCTCACACACATCATACACAGCACTCACACCCATCACACACAACACTCTCACCCATCACACACAGCACTCTCACACCCATCACACACAGCACTCTCTCACACAGCACTCACACCCATCACACACAGCACTCTCTCACACATTACACACAGCACTCTCTCACACATCACACACAGCACTCTCACACCCATCACACACAGCACTCTCTCACCCATCACACACAGCACTCTCACACCCATCACACACAGCACTCTCTCACACAGCACTCTCACCCATCACACACAGCACTCTCACCCATCACACACAGCACTCTCTCACACATTACACACAGCACTCTCTCACCCATCACACACAGCACTCTCACGCACAGCACTCTCACACCCATCACACACAGCACTCTCTCACACAACACTCTCACACCCATCACACTCTCAGCACTCTCACAGCACTCTCACACACACAGTACTTTCACACACACAGCACTCTCTCACAGCACCCTCACACCCATCACACTCACAGCACTCTCACAGAGCACTCTCTCACAGAGCCCTCTCTCACACAGCACGCTCACACCGCACTCTCACACGGCACTTTCACACCCATCACTCACACCGCACCCCTCACACACACACCGCACCCTCACATACACACAGAACCCCCCCAACACACTGCACCACACACATACTTCCAAATATATATATATATATATATATATATATATACACACACACACACTACACTCTTAAAAGACCACTCTAGCCACCCAGACCACTTCAGCTTAATGAAGTGGTCTTGGTGCCAGGTCCTTCTAGGGTTAACCCATTGTTTTATAAACATAGCAGTTTCAGTTTTCCCCCAAAGCCTCTAGCAGCTGTCTCATTGACAGCCGCTAGAGGTGCTTGCGTGCTTTTCACTGTGAAAATCACAGTGAGAGCACGCAAGCGTCCATAGGAAAGCATTATAAATGCTTTCCTATACGACCGGCTGAATGCGCGCGCAGCT